GAGAAAAAGGACAGAGCATTGTCCCCCTTTAACAGGAGGTGCCTTTTTTAATGAAAGCTGAAAATTTAAAAATATTAAAAACTGTTTTTGAAAGTAAATGGCCATGTTAAAGCCTATATTAGATTTTATACACTTTATCCGCTAAAGCAGTCCTGTCATCAAACTAAAAGTTCCCATAAAAGATGTGTCTGTAAATCAGAATGTAAAGTATATACTTACCTTTTGCTGCTTGTGCTTGTGCCACTCAATTTAAAGTGATACTAAACACCCACTATTTAATTTACATGTTCCCTTCTATTTCTTATGGGGATGATGGTACTCTAATTATTTGAATTAAAAAAATATAGCCAAGTACCTTTTTCCTAGTTTATACAGCTGTCACATGAACCAGATCTTTCCCAGCCTAGCTGCAGGGAAACAGTGATAGGAGGAGCTTCTAGTCTTCTGCTGCTGTTCCAAAACAACCTTTGGAATGCAAAGCAACTGAAAACTGAGCATGTGCAGAGTTGCCACTACAGCTGCAAAACCCCTAGTTGAATTAGGGACATTAACAAAAGGTGGAGATAGAGAGCAGCAGGATCAACCAGTTTTTTTTTTTTTTTGCAAAATACATAAAACAAATCTCATAGTGACTGCGTAAGTATGAATAGCATGTAACACAGCATTTATTGATAGTTTTTATGATGTGGGTTTAGTAACACTTTAATAGAAATCTTCAGGTGGCGATACAGGACACATTGGTAATGTATTGGAGAAACCTATGAGTGCAATGAAAGACACAAAAAAATTGACACTCACTGGTCATTTCTCTTCTGTAGAGCAGAATTTGATGGCACAGGCAACAGGAGAGTATATACTTTGTTTTACATACATATTTTATATATGGGGACTTTTACTATGGTGACATTCTTTGCAAAAATGTCTTTTTTACCATTCATAGGCAGTTAACAATCATAGGTCTTGCTATTCATACTTGTTCTTTACAGTGCCAGGTCAATATTGAGAAAACATTTTGAAACAAACAGCATGTCTTATGAGAAAATTCATATTCCATCCAAGACAGGGATGAATACATTCCCGGGGCCCATGGATAGATAGGTAGTTGCTGGAAAAGGTAATGCATTTCATATCACATTCTACAAGTGAATGGAGGAAGATAGAAGTCTATTTGCTACTTTCATGACACACTTAATCTCTATGGAGTATCTAACAAGCAGCCTATCACATATTCTAAGAAAATGTACATTACCTAGCTTTGAGCTATTGATCTGAAACTTCAGAGGAAGGAATAACTGAACCCATTAGCTCTATTTATAACACAGTGAGCAGTAAGAAAATATTTCAGATCTGTGTTGTTAAAACCTAGGATTTTTACTGCTTGATTTCCCACCTAGCACAATGTTACCAAAATCAAATAGAGTTTTTCATGCCATTAAAATAATAGGTTAGACATTTCCCTAATTTAAGAATTTAAGAAAACGTGCTGATCTCCTAAAATGCTACCTGCCAGATTTTCATGGGGATACAATGCAGATAAGGATTTGTGAGTTTGCTATGTTCCATTTAGAGATTTCCCTCCACTCCTTTTTACAGAGCCACGACAAGAAGTGAGGGAACATCTCTCTAAAGTAAGGGCAGATCTCATCTGATTCTTTTGACAGTTTTTACCAGATCACAGCCAGTCAGCCAAAGGGGAGGGGGGGGGGGGGGACACAGTTTTACCAGGTCACAGCCAGTCAGCCAATGAGGAAGGGGGGTGAGTCACTGCACTGTGTGTGAATGGACACACACACAAAGCAGTGGCTCAGGAGCAAGCCTTCTTGGGCACCCTCATAGAAAGCTGCTTGCTCTGGGGACACTTGGCAGGAGAGAGGAGCCAGGAGTACTGGCAGGGAACCTGAGAAGAGGAGGATCTGGGCTGCTGCTATGTTCAAAACCACTGCACAAAGCAGGTAAGTATTACATGTTTGTTTGTTTTTGTTAATGCCTCTAATACCAGTTCAATATCTGTTTGGGGTTTAGCTTTAAAAATAAACAATTCAGGCCCACATTTTTTTTCTCTTTGATACTATAGAGTTAATATAGATCTTCAATATTCCCTGACAGTTATTCATACAGAGCTTCATTATAGTACCAGGAGCTGGTAACAGCATTTCTTGTTGAGTAAATGAAAAAAATATTGAATAACAGAGCAGGGACTGGAATATTTCAGCTAATATAATGAATGTTTATGAGCTTTTTTCTTTATGTGATTAGAAACTCCAAAGCCTCAGAGCAAAGACACCAGTGAACCCTGATAGGGGACAGTGAAGATTGACCCTTAAAGGTTTTTTTTTTAAACTCTTTGAAGGAAGAAGTAATGACTTTTTAACCCAGTATCCAAATAGATTTCACTTTTTAAACTTAAGTTCAATAAGGGAAATACTTTACCCTGCCATTATGTTCTTCAGGCACAAGGTAGAAGAGTCATCTGCATTATTTGGTGTTTTTGAGAGAGAGTCTGTTTTTATTGTTGGTCTTCCTGTTGTAGAAATAAAAACATGTTTTTCTGGTGGTTTGCTGGACTGGTACCAATGGGCAGAGCACACTTAATGAAATGCTAGTGTGAGTGAGCCACATTAACTAACTAGATAGACCTGTTTCAGGTTTATCTGTGCCATCTACACCAGTTTCTTTTTCAGAGTGAAATATAAACTAGCACAGGTCCATGCAGAAATATGCTGCAGATTCCTGCTAGGTGTGATCTGTTGTATGGGATGTGAACTGTCAGTAGACCACTGGTATGCCCCTTTCTGCTCATTCAGTGATAACACTATCTGAGCAGAGCTTACAGGGTTAAACCTTTCCTTGCTCTGAGCTGATCTGGGGGGGAGGGGCAGGGGCAGGCATAGAGATTGGAGCTTGCAACTCCAGCTCTCGTGTTCTCTGTGTGTGTCTATCAGACATGGATTGCATCCCTTTATTAATTAGGATCAGCATCTGCTCCATTTCTTATGTTTAGAAGAGTGAAGCAAGCATTGTACTTGCATCACTCTTTGTTAGTTCCTCCTCGCATGTCTGCAGTTATTTCATGTATTATAAAGTATATCTTTGTTAGACTGGGCACCTAGGATGCCTGCACATTTATCATTAACCCGCTGCCCTTCTGTACAAATCTAAAGTGTGCTCTTGGACAGAGCCTTCGGATACGGACATATAAACAAATTTCAACAAATTGAACAAAAATCTGTCAAATTAATATGTAGTAATAAAACCATCAACAGCAGATTCACATCATATAAACATATACTTTCAATTCAAAAGCACATATTTCCACCTTTTTAACCACTTTCCCTGGCTGCTCTTGTATGTAGAGATCAGTAATATATGACTGTTATTGAATTGCTGCAATGTCTTTTACATGAATTTTGGGATTGACAATTTGGCATTCCTTTCTTTGTGCTGTGTGAAAGGCAAGATGGCAATGTACAAATTTAAAATAACTGTCTCTCTGGGGACAGACTTAAGCTGAGTTTTTGTGCATACATGTGCTTACAGCCCAAATAAATCTCATTTAGCAGCAGTTTTTGTAAATAATGCAAAAACAGGGTATGAAGGTAGTTTCCTTCTACGCAAATTATATCAGTTCTTGAAATGAGTTCTGAAAGATTTTCTTTCCTGTAATAATTGTGCTCATTTACATTTAAACTCTTTCTAACCATGTAAATGCAATTTGTTGCAAGGCACATTCGACTTTGCTGTAGGCAACAGAGATTCAGACCTGAGATCTAAAACCACAAACAACACATTGGTACTATTCATTTGGGAATATACAGGACATGATGCCGCTGTTTCAACACTTTTGGCACAAAATAAATAGTTAACTACATCAAACTGGCAAAAATCATAGAGATAAGCATTCTGTAGGACGAACAGAAGTATTAATATTCATAGACACCTAGCTGAGCACTGGAAGCAACTTATCATTGCAAGCACTGTTTCACTTCCAAAGCTTTGACCAGTGTCAGTCATCAAAGACACCCACCTCTGTTTTAAAATACAGTTGCCTTTAATGAATCCTCAGTGTGGGTGTGTGTAGGAGACAAAGGCAGGCACAATGTTGAAATCATGTAAGTCAGAACATTAAAAGTTAAGGCTTGTCATTTATATAGGGAGCACAACCTACCTGCACAGTATGATATTATCATACATGAATTGTTGTAAAGCACATATGTTTGATGCTTGGACACCATGATTGCTGTCTCTCATATACGAAAACCATATATAAAAAACATTTCTTACACCAACAAATTAGATTCAATCCTGCTCAAACACTCTTGGCATTGTTTCCAAACACACAAGCACTATGCAGACATCCCCTTGCCTATATGCTGCTCTGTAATGAAGTCAGCTGAAACCCTTGTCCTCCTAGGTGCCTCCCCTGACATCACCTTTTTTGGATGCATGGACCACCAATGCAATTTTAAATACCGTATTTTTCGCACCATAAGACGCATTTTTTCCCCCCCAAAAAGGGGGGAAAATGTCAGTGCGTCTTATGGAGCGAATGTAAAGCGGCCGGTCCGGTATTTCTGCCGCCACCATGTCAGAATACCGGGCCGGCCGCTCAGCTCTTCTTCCTGCAGGGCCTTACCTGTTCCTCGCTCCAGCGCTGCACAGTCTTCCCGCGCTGGCTTCTGTGACAGCCGGGTGCCCACTGCGCATGTGCTGCGCTTTGTGAATGATCCGGTGTCTTCTGGGACACATGAAAGGTCACAGAAGGCGCCGGGCCATTCACAAAGCGAAGCGCTTCTTGCACCTGCGCAGTGGGCACCCGGCTGTCACAGAAGCCGGCCCGGGAAGAAGAGGGAAGGCAACTCCGCGGAAGTGGGAGCGGGTACCTGTCAAATTCAGGTACCCGCTCCCCCTCCCTCCCCAAAGGTCAGCAGTCTCTGGTCATCCCCTTCACTGTCTGCAGTCTCTAATCATTCCCTGCACTGTCTGCAGTCTCTGGTCATTCCCTGCACTGTCCGCAGTCTCTGGTCATCCCCTGTACTGTCCGCAGTCTCTGGTCATCCCCTGTACTGTCCGCAGTCTCTGGTCATCCCCTGTACTGTCCGCAGTCTCTGGTCATCTCCTGTACTATGTCCGCAGTCTCTGGTCATCTCCTGTACTGTCCGCAGTCTCTGGTCATCCCTGTACTGTCCGCAGTCTCTGGTCATCCCCTGTACTGTCTGCAGTCTCTGGTCATTCCCTGTACTGTCTGCAGTCTCTGGTCATTCCCTGTACTGTCCGCAGTCTCTGGTCATTCCCTGCACTGTCCGCAGTCTCTGGTCATTCCCTGCACTGTCCGCAGTCTCTGGTCATCCCCTGCACTGTCCGCAGTCTCTGGTCATCTCCTGCACTGTGTCCGCAGTCTCTGGTCATCTCCTGCACTGTGTCCGCAGTCTCTGGTCATCTCCAGGCACGATTGTAGATTACTGCACTGTGTCCGCAGTCCCTGGTCATCTCCTGTACTGTGTCCGCAGTCTCTGGTCATCTCCTGTACTGTGTCCGCAGTCTCTGGTCATCTCCTGTTACTGTGTCCGCAGTCTCTGGTCATCTCCTGTACTGTGTCCGCAGTCTCTGGTCATCCCTGTACTGTGTCCGCAGTCTCTGGTCATCCCTGTACTGTGTCCGCAGTCTCTGGTCATCCCTGTACTGTGTCCGCAGTGTCTGGTCATCCCTGTACTATGTCCGCAGTCTCTGGTCATCTCCTGTACTGTCCGCAGTCTCTGGTCATCCCTGTACTGTCCGCAGTCTCTGGTCATCCCCTGTACTGTCTGCAGTCTCTGGTCATTCCCTGTACTGTCTGCAGTCTCTGGTCATTCCCTGTACTGTCCGCAGTCTTGGTCATTCCCTGCACTGTCCGCAGTCTCTGGTCATTCCCTGCACTGTCCGCAGTCTCTGGTCATCCCCTGCACTGTCCGCAGTCTCTGGTCATCTCCTGCACTGTGTGTCCGCAGTCTCTGGTCATCTCCTGCACTGTGTCCGCAGTCTCTGGTCATCTCCTGCACTGTGTCCGCAGTCCCTGGTCATCTCCTGTACTGTGTCCGCAGTCTCTGGTCATCTCCTGTACTGTGTCCGCAGTCTCTGGTCATCTCCTGTACTGTTTCTGCAGTCTCTGGTCATCTCCTGTACTGTGTCCGCAGTCTCTGGTCATCTCCTGTACTATGTCTGCAGTCTCTGGTCATCCCCTGTACTGTGTCCGCAGTCTCTGGTCATCCCCTGTACTGTGTCCGCAGTCTCTTGGTCATCCCCTGTACTTTGTCCGCAGTCTCTGGTCATCTCCTGTACTATGTCTGCAGTCTCTGGTCATCCCCTGTACTGTGTCCGCAGTCTCTTGGTCATCCCCTGTACTTTGTCTGCAGTCTCTGGTCATCTCCTGTACTATGTCCGCAGTCTCTGGTCATCTCCTGTACTGTGTCCGCAGTCTCCTTGTCATCCCCTGTACTATGTCTGCAGTCCATTGGTTCAGAATATTTTTTTTTCTTGGTTTTTTTTCACCTCTAAAACCTAGGTGCGTCTTATGGTCAGGTGCGTCTTATGGAGCGAAAAATACGGTATGTGCTATGAGTACAATCTCAAATATTTTTTTGGGTTACCGATAGCAACAAGGCTGTGTGTGTTTGGAGGTAGAGGGAAGGAGAGAGTTGTAGAACAAATTCTCTAATAACTATTGAAGGCTTAAACCAATGTAGGTACATTTTTTTGTTGTTGTTGTCTGTGTCCTTTTGCCAATATTAACCTTTTTTCTGTTTCGGAGACACAATGGAAAGTGAGAGGAAATCACAAAAAAATGAGAGGAATTCAGCTCTTCACCTGTTGCCAAGGAACCTGTATCACCATTGGAAGAATTCTCCACACCTCTTGTATTGGTGACAACTGTAAAACTTTAAATGCCCTATACCTTTTTATCTTGGTAATAATTAGAGTTGAATATAACTAGTGAGGGTACAGTCAACAAAATAAAATATGAAAAAACAAAAACTAATTTTTAGCTGTACAAACACATACAAATTGGTAACATATTATTGTCTGAATTAATTTGATAGAAAAAAAAAAAGAAAAAACACCAGTGCTGATAAATATAGATATTAGTGTGAAAACACCTATTAGATACTAAGTGCAGAGCTCACAACAAAAAATATAATTTATGCAGAGAAGGCAATAAAATTCCACTTAGTGCTCCAAAGATTCCCACATGTGTGACGAACTTGTAACAAAGTGTGCTCCACTTCACCACATGCCAATATACACCGCATTCATCAGAATTAGTTGAGTCCTTGTTTGCACATGAAAGTTAATAAACGCCTGTTGTAATATATGCCTCCATGGATGGAAACAATGCCACTGTAATGCAGGAATTATGTATAATCATCAGGTAAGTAGCTACAAATGCTGCTGGCTGCCAACTTTGCTTGTCTTCAAAATCCTCCAAGAGCCACTAGTTATTTAATAAAGGAATCATCAAAGAGGAAAGGGTAAGACTCCCATAGTGAAATACTGTTTATTCAGAGCACAAAACAAAGTAAAACCACACTTACAATGTATAATATACATATATAATGGATCAGGCATTCACATTAATGTATCAGGAAGCGCTGCTGGCATTCCACAGAACATAAGTGACATAGCCGGAAGTACTGTCTAATGTGTTTTGGCGTCCGGATGCAATGTCTGAACTCCTGAGGACATTGAATCAGAATGACGAAATGTGTTGGGCGGGACTTCTAGGTACATCACTTGCCTGATCTTTTTTTATAGATTGTAAGTGTGGTTTTACTTTGTGTTATGCTCTGAACAAACAATATTTCCCTATGGGAGACTTTCCGTTTGCTCTTTGACTTATTTGCATAACTGATATTTTTTTTGGTGTGAGTGCTGTTTAAATCTGTTTTGATTTGAATTTATTTGCTTAATTAAAGGAATATGGGGAATGTTTTCTTTCCAGTTACAGCTTGTAAGGTTACTACAGGTAGTGTTTGTGCTAGTTGTGTTTGCAACATAATTGTCTCTAATGATCTTAGTTGTAGACCATAACTCTGTGGAGCAACACTAGTTCACAAAGTGAGTTCAGTCTCCCTGGTCCTAAACACTGAATTGGGCTTGAGCTGCTGTGCCCCTTGCACTATAAAAGTGCCTTTTTTTGTGCCTCCAGATACTAAAAAAGTGCTTGGGGAACATTTCAGTACCCCCTGCTTTAAGTTATGCCCTTAGTGATGTCATATAATATCCTATATGACATATGAAGGCTACTTATGGTAAAGCTCTGCCAGAAATAGCATACTAATCATACTAATCAATTTGTCAATCATTGTGCTTTATGTACCCAGAAATCAGATCATAGTAGCTGTCAGTATGGCATTGCTAAGTGCTGTCATTGACACATTACTGATTTAGCAAATTCATTGCCTAGAAATGCACTGTTTTAGTCGAACACCAGATATAACAAATGAACAAAACAGTGGTGGTGCTTCTCATTCTTCTACATAATAAAAGACATACATTATTTAGTTTCATATATATCAATTTTGACAAACTATTTAACCAATTACCCCACATACTCTACAGTTCGTACAAAAAGAATTCATAATCTGCCTTGCTTTGAAGTTCTAGCTGATGTTCTTGATTATGAGCACATGTGATTGCCTGTGCCTCTGAGTGCCCTGCATGAAGCCATTGTGATGATCATCATTCAGAGGCCTATACATCAGGATAGGTATTCGTCAAAATACAGGTCATATTCCATATAAGATGAAACTCTTTCTGTACATTAAATCGCCTTTTGATATGTTAAAAGCACTTTCATATCACCTAACTGCCATATCATTAAGTCTTTTATATACAGATGCAGATCTCATTATGGCTGTATCACTTGCAGAATAAAATGCAAAATTCAAGAATAGTAGAACAGGCACTTTTTCTCTTGTCATTGCGCATTTTTCTGTTCCTTTGGACTTACCTTCCCTTTTTCCTTTCCTTAAAGGGACACTAAACTCTGGCTTAAAATATACTCAAGTATGCATTCTTAAGTCAAAAAGTACATTTGATTGCTCCCAGCCTTCCACAAATCTCTAAATTCCTATTTTTATTTTTTTTTGCTGCTGTGATCTGACTTCCTGTTAGAGGGTGACTACGTTTGCTGTCCATGGTCCCACTTTATGTAGGAACAGAGACACTCTCTCTTGCTCACTCCTGGGATGCATCAGGGACTATGAACTATGAGATTTGTTGTGTGCATTGAGCAGTAATGTACATATGACCTCAACTAATGTGCACTACTCATTCCAAACGAATGGAAGTAATATTAATGAACCAGCTGAAGTTAGAAGCTGATTGGCTACCATGCACAGTTCAACCAGATTTTGGACTCTCCAGTTTTAGTAAATCAGCCCCTGCGAGCCTTTCAGGTTCTAATGACCTGCTCAGTTTTGTCAATCTAACACTGGTCACATTTGAGATAGGTGAAAAGAGCTGCATGAACAAAGTGACAACCTCTGTGGTCCAATCTCTGCTATTTCACCATCCAAGCCTCAGGCTGGGTGCTGGTAAGGGATCATGTTAGATTGTTTAAATGCACTGAAAAAAAGGGTGGTCACCAACTTGGCTGTATTGTTCTGAGAGGTGCCTGGATCACAAGACTGGCTCATGTTTTGCACTTCTGCTGCTGAATGAGACATTGCAGGACATCTTTGGAGATCTTTAGGAGCTAAAAAAAGAATATGTTGACTAAAAACTAAAAAGAGCAATACATAAACTGTTAATGAATACTGGACAGGGAAACCTACATGATGGAGGAATTGCAAGGCTGCTCACTGCTCCATCGCTATAGGGATACCAGCTTGCATAACTGGTGTGTTTGGCTGGTTAATTTTGGAGCAGGGGAGACACGCTAATTTCTATGACATTACATAAATGTAAAAAGTCACAGTTAATACTCCTAGTGCTGAAACTGTGTATAAACACAATTTTAGCACAACAGATACCTATTGCCAGCAGATTGACATACAAGGTAACACCTCTTCTTTATATGTATGGTATAAGTAAGATTTGACAACAGTTCACCAACTGCTGCGTTCGCTTGGTGTACATTCATCTTATTTTCAGTAGGTTGTAGTATGCCAAGACTATGAAATATCAGGACTGTGGAATGCCAGGCAAATGCCATTAAATCTCACATGTACAGTGGATGAATTTGCCAATTAACCTTTCATAAATATACCCCTTAATATTATTCAGTACTTTTAATCAAAATTTGTCTGCATTATTTGATGTTTTTATATCTGCTTGGAAATGGTTCTGCTTGGGTGAGCTCAAGTTGGCCAAGTCAGATTAAAGTTCACTAAACAAGGAGTTCATGTCAGTGGACTATAGAGTAAAAGACATTCTTACCAAAAAAGGACAAT